CTCTCTGAACTTGAAGGAAAGGAAAGCAGGGCAGGTTGGGCTAGGGCAGCCTGCAAGCCCTGAGCTCTAATGGCCAAAGCAACAACTGCCTCAAGGACAAGCAGAGGAGCTGAGGGATAGACATGGGGTCTAACACAAGCCAGTCTACACAGGTCTCACCCAGGACTACATGTATGTGAAAGACTTTCCAGAACAAAACAGATGTCTTGGATCAACTGAGCCAGGAATTTCCAAGGGAGTCAAAGTGCATGAGAACCTTCAGAGACCATGACATCATGGCAGTGACATCACAGCCTAACATCCAGTCAGAAAAGGGATGACCATAATGCCAGCCCTCAGAGGACCAGAACCCTGAACAAGGTGACAGCTGTCCAGCTCTTCCTCACCTGCCGCAGGCTCCAGTACCCTCTGCCGTGTGACTCTTTGTCAACTTGGAAGAGGTGAGTCCTTGGTAAGGTGGGCCACCGCTAGAAAATACATGACCGAGGCTCCATAAGGCTCCCTCCTGGGATCTTTCCCCAGTCTCTGTCTCCCTTCCTCACAGTTACAGTGGATTCTACTTTGCAGAAAAGGGAAGCAGCAGACACCAAGAAGCACTGAGAGAGATGATAGCGAGGCAGTGACATGCCAGCACCATTCTTCATCTGGAAAGGAGAGAACAAAACTCAGTTCCTACCCAAGAGGACCAAACCCTGAGCACAGAGGTGCCTGCCTGGCTGCACCATGGACTCCAGGCTCCTCCACTGCATGATGCTTTGTCTCCTGGGAGCAGGTGAGTCTGGGGACAAAGGAGCCAGGTCTGAGTTAAGCGACTTCTGAATCCTCCACTCTACCTTGGGACCCCAGGCACTCTCCTGAGCTCATTCTCCTTCTGCTTCTCCCACAGGCCCTGTGGAGGCAGGAGTCACTCAAACTCCAAGACACCTGATCAAAACAAAAGGACAGAAAGTGACACTGAGATGTTCCCCTATTTCTGGGCATGAGAGTGTGTCTTGGTACCAACAGATCCTGGGCCAGGGCCCCCAGTTCCTCTTTGAATATTACAGAGAAGAAGAGAGAGCAAAGGGAAACTTCCCCAGTCGGTTCTCAGCTCACCAGTTCCGTAACTACAGCTCTGAGATGAATGTGAGCTCCTTGGCGCTGGAGGACTCAGCCCTGTATCTCTGTGCCAGCAGCTTGGCACAGCCCTGCAGAGGCACTGACGTTCTGTGCGCAAACCTCTGTGCCCCAGCAAGGAAACACCTCAGATCTGACATGCTGGGAGAACTTGGGGGCTGCAGGAGCACTTGAAAATAGTTCTGGGTTTCTGGACAGTGCAGCTTTGTCCTTTTGAGCCTTTCAGGGTTCAGGCCAAGTCCAGGCATAGCTCTTCAGAGGATCGTTCTACATCAATAGGTCACTCCAGAATGACTTTTTTTGACTACCACTGTTTTCTACGCTTCCTACACATTGTGTACTGCAGGGGTGAAGGGAATGCTTGTAATTTAATATCCAGAATTGTTCTCCTCAGAGCAAAAGATTTCAGTCTGGACTCAAGACTGTTTATAATCATACAGCAGAGATGGTAGCATCACAGGAATTTGCTTTATGTAATTGATGGAGAAGTTGCTGGTATTTGGGGAAGGTCAAGGAGAGAGAACATGATCAAAGATGGTTGATAATAGAGATAGCACTGCCGGGTTAGTAAAAGGTGTTCTGTGCGGCATAAGCTCTCTTCTCTCTTCAAGTTTTCAGTATCTAGAAAATGTAAGACAAGGCCTTAGAGCTCTGGCATCAGCTAGCGGCAGGTCTCCATGAGCGATGTCTCTGAGTAGCTGGTTGCCCAGTGCAAGGACGCTGGCATCATTTCTGTCTCCCTCCTTCCTCACTCCAGGTCCCAATCTTATTCCTCAGGGCACAGTCAGGCACTTTCCAAAACCAGAGGAGTCCCATCACCCAGGTCGCTAACCAGCACAGGTTCTCCTCTTCCCAGGATAAATGCTGTGTCCCTGGGATATCTTCCCAACACTTCCCACCCAGATCCCAGTTCCTTCGAAAGCAAATGCTCTTCCCAGTGGTTCCCATCAGCGGCTCTTACATCTCTGTCTGTGTTTGCATGCTCCCAGGCTGGAAGGCTGCTCCTGGTCACCAGACACAACCAGGCTCTCCTCATCTATCAAAGACCAGCTCATATAAACTTTCCTCTTTTCTTCTTAAAAAAAACTTCATTTATTTATTGAGAGAGTGGAAACTCCGACAGAGTTTTTATACCATGATCCACTCCCAGCTTCATCCAGCCAGGATCATGAACTATGCAGGGAGACCTTGAGATGTGAACCCAGGCCCTTCCCATGTGGCTTCAGCATCATGGAGCATTGCGTGCCTGCCCTCCATGCTGCTGCAGCTGGCTCCTTTTCTTTTTCCCCTGACTCCTCCTAGCACTGAAATGCAGTTTCATAGAAAAGCAAAGTATGTTCTTGATGTTCTTTAAGTTAATGCCCACCTACACAGAATCTTGGAATGTTATTAATCACTATTTTCCCTTAACAAGGTGCTCACTTCTCTTACCTGAAATGCAATGTATTATCACAATAGTCCTGGTATTCCACACAACATGTACAATATTTTGAGCAGTTGTGCTTCCATAGTCAGGATTGATGAACAGTACAACGAAATACCCTAGCTTTGGCTTAAACTAGAATTTGCCAGTGCTTTTATGGAACAAAGTTGTAGCAATATTTGTCCAGTCTTAGAATATTGTAAAAAATACATTTACCATAACCACACTTTTCCAGAATCATATGTGTGTGTGTGTGTATATATATATATATATATATAGAGAGAGAGAGAGAGAGAGAGAGAGAGAGAGAGATTTTTGCTACTGGGCATGAATGCTCCCAGAAAGACAGAGAGAGAGATAGAAAGACAGAGGGTGAGAATGCACCTCTCCTCTCTGGATTTTGGACATGCACACACATTAGCCTGTTGAGAACTTCCAGCCTTCTGGTCAGGGACTAGGACCATGGTCTACCATGTGGGAGTCCAGAACCTTAAGCATTATGCTATCTGCTGGCCCCAGAACCATATTTTTAGAGACTTTAATGACGCTGGAAACATCATCAAGAGTGCTTCTTAGCAATGAACTTGAAAAACTGAAAAATTGGCTTTGGTAAGTTTGTCATAGAAACTTATCATCCTTTGCAATGAAAAGATACCGTGTGTGCATGTGTGTGCATCTGTGCTTTCTTGTAGAGACGCGCCCACACAGAAATTGTCTCTCTCTGGTGACATTTGTTGATAGGTGATGATCACTGGTTAGAGCTCACAGGCCCTTCCACCCACAAGTGACAGATCCAACTGAACCTACCCTAATTACATCAAGATTTCAGAAGTAAATATGTAAAATCTGGAAACCCTTTTTATAAACATGGGCACTAATTAATTTAAGTACAAACTATGAGGAGCTATGGGTCTGATTAACCTAGAGGAGCTATGGAGTACCCGACTCCAGGCTGGAGCTGTTTGAGGTCATTGAATTCTATGGCCGCGGCACTCTGGCTGACCTCGTCCATCTTCTCACACTGGTCACCACGGTGTAGCAGTTTTTGTTTATTTTTCTTTTTAGTCAAAATGCTGCTTGATACATCTTTTGCCTTTACTGACTAAGGGTGGATTTGAATATCAATCCTAAACCTAGCAGGCAGGGAAAGCAGTGGAAAAAGTGTGTGCAAGGGGTCAGGGTGTACAGGAGACAGGGGTGGACAGTGGGGTGATCTGTGTGTCAGTTTTAGACAAACTTTAGCAATACGGGTGTTTGAATCCATGACCACTGCCCACTAGGGGGCACTGTGGTTCCTTGATGCTGCCTGGAGCCATGAGGAGGGTTTGGGAAGGTAGTTCAGGAGCCTAAGGCCTAGGAAGCCTTAGCTGCTTGCTTTAGTCCAGCAGGTGATTTGAATTCAGGGTGGGCCCAGGATTTGTGGAGTTAGACTCTTGATGGGAAGGGAAGGGTCCGGGTGCCTCAGCCCTCAGAAGGCACAGAGGAGGAAACTTCTCTGCATTTGCCTGGGCAAAAGACTGGAAGGGACTAGGGCTGGAGGGCTCGGGAAGCAGTGTCAGGGCAGCAGCCAGGACGGCAAGAGGCGGAACTAGAGCCTGAGAAAATGGTATGTGGTGGGCCTGTGGGCCCTGTGTTCAAAATGACTCCTTCTTTAGTTGAGGGGCTGAACAAGAGGTCTCAGAGCTTGGTCCTGCTAGGGTGAGGTGTGCTTGGTGGCCTGTAGGGGGAGTAAAGTCATAATGACACTTCAGGCTCATGTCCCTGTCAGGCGACAGCTACCCAACCTGAGAAGCTCAGCCCCAGAGACTTGTGCAGAGCTAGGGGATGCCTAGGTTCCTAACTACCATGAGATTCAGGCTTCTCTGCTGTGTGGCTCTTTATCTCTTGCGATCAGGTGAGTTCTGGGCACATTTGAGGGTCTCTGATCTGTCTTTGCATCTCTGAAGTATTAAGTGGCTAAAAGCTGTAGCAGGTGACACCCTCCTGCATTGTCTTTAGCTTCTGCCCTCTGACCCACAGGCCTGGCTGCTTCTGAAGTCACCCAAACCCCCAAACACCTGATCAAAGCACGAGGACAGCAAGGGACACTGAGATGCTCCCCTGTCTCTGGGCACCTTTCTGTGTACTGGTACCAACAGACCTCGGACCAGGGTCTCCAGTTTCTCGTTCAACATTACAATGGAGAGGAGAGAGAAAGAGGGAACATCCCGGATCGATTCTCAGCACAGCAGTTCAGCAACTCCAGCTCGGAGCTGAACCTGAGCTCCTTGACTGTAGGAGACTCAGCCTTGTACCTCTGTGCCAGCAGCTTGGCACAGCCCTGCTCGGTCGTCAGCCTGCTGTGCAAAAACGATCCTGCCCTGCTCAGGAAGTGGCCCTGATGGTGGCACTGCCAGCCAGCTGGCTGAGGCCCTGGAGAGAGGCCGGTCTTCCAGATACTCGTGGTGCTCACATATGTGATCTGCCTTAATGTTTGCAGAAATCATGCAAAACTCGTGTTATTTTATGTTTCTGCACCTGAGGGAAAGAAGTCATCTTTGATGCCTTTTTTTTTTTTTGAGAGTTTTTTGCTATAGGGTGCATGTGCTCACCAGAAAGAGAGACAGTGAGACAGAAAGTGAGAAATCACCCCCAGGCGGGATGGCCACCTTGCAGTCCCTTCTCCTCCATTCTCCTCTCAGGATCCTGGGCATGCACGCACACGCACCTTGTGTGAGTTTAAGTCACCTGGTCTGGAACTCGAGCTGTGGTCAACTACATGGGAGTCCAGTGATATAGCCATTACGCCAAATGCTGGTCCCTTGGATCTCATATTTAACCAGTAGCTTACCAGGTTTTTATAACACCTGAGTCTCCCACCCACCTCTCCTAGATTTGTCCTCTTCTCTGTCTTTCTAGGTTCTTGTTAACAGGATCGGAAGGCCATGTATCCTATGTGACTGTCAGAAACCCTTCCCTGACAAGGCCAGGGAACTTAGGACTTCAAGGTATGGCTCATCCATTGATCTTCACTCACCATAGCATTGGTGTGGTGGCTGATTGCAGAGTGAGGATTCCCAGCTTCACCAAAGGACGCAGCTTTTGAGGAAAGCGCCGATGGCCTTCATGGGATGCAATCCACCAAGGGGGAGAGGAGCATCAGTAATTGTTGCTCACTTCCTGATTTCTCTTCTGCTATTCAATAAACACTTGGGGGTTCCTTACATTGTATATGGTATTGTATCTCATGAAATATAAAAGGAAAAAGAAGAAAGAAAAATAAATGCATGATAAAAAATTTTAATGAAAAAGTCATGTTTCTTGCCTTTTAAGTTTTAAGGTCTACCTTTCTTTGTTTTTCAAGTAATTTACTCAGTTTTTGAATTATGACTCATACAAATTTTTTTCCCTTTCTCTTTCTGCCTTTGGCTACCTAGCCCCCTTTTGCTAGCTTATTTTAAAAATTGTATTAAGGACTACTGACATGGAATCCACCTTCAACAGATAAAACAACACAGTATTGTAATCTATGGTAACTATCTTGTATATAAGACCTCTTGAATTATTCCTCTTGCTTAACTAAAATTTGTATCCATTGACAGGAACTCCCCAGTCCCCCACTCCCCAGCCCCGGGAAGCCACCATTCCTTACTTTGCTGCCGTGAGTTGGACTATTTCAAATGCTTCACATAAGTGGGATCATGTGGTGTCTGTCCTTCCGTGACTGTCTTGTCTCGCTGAGTGCGATGTCCTCCAAGTTCACCCTCGGGGTTGTGTTTGGCAGGATTTCCTTGTTTCTCAAGACTTAGTATTAAATGTATCCTATTTGACTGTTTCCATGGAAACCCTTTGTCATGTGTGTGGCAGGGTCGTTTGCAGAGTTGTTTGCACTGACTACATTACTGCACATTCATAGTTCAATTCTGCTCCCAGAGAAATTCAGAGAAAAGGAATAATGCCATATTTTACTGGCTATGTAATACATACCAAATAAAAGCGCTTCATTTGAAAACTTTCTGTTAATCAGATGTTCAACTTAGAGAAAAATTCAAGAGACAAATGCTATTCTCATTGTACAGATAGGGAATGTCCATACTTAAATAACCTGGCCAGGTTAAATGGCTATTAGAATGCAGTGCTGGGAGGTTGATGATGACGTGTATAGTATTCTCAACTGGATTGGTCTGAGAAGTATTTCATGTTGGGTAACGTCTTTTATAAGAAAAAATGATAAATAGTGATTGACTGCTTAAAAAATAATTGGAATAGTAATGATAATAATTGTGAAAAAAAATGAAAAGCTATTGGATGATGAAGATGGGGATTTTGATGTTTCTGTATTGACTGATATGCATGGTATTCCTTCTGGTAAAAGAAATGTAATACACTGTAAAGTTATATGTGATTCAATGCAATATAAACAAGATTATGATAATAAATAAATAAATAAATAAAAGAATGCAGTGCTGGGATTCAAATGCTGGCCTACCTATTCCTAAGGTCTGTATTTCTAACTCTATCCTAGAATGGACATTTGTAGGGACATACCTATGTTTTAAAAGCAAAATGTTGTCTCCCCCCCATCCCATTAAGACCTGCTGGCTTTAGTAAAATCATTAGCAGAGGCTAGTTTACCTGGAGACGGTGGTATAAGGAAAGAGTTCCTCCTTGGCACTGTGACACTTGGGCCTGAATCTGATTCTAATACTTGCTAGTCAAGACCTGAGGCCAATATTTGTCATAGTAGGCTTAGCTTTTTTATTTGTATTATTTTTTTTAATCTACAAAGTATTCTCTCATGATCCATTTGACAAGATTGAATCTGAAACTTAATGAGCAGAAGTACCTAGCATATAGTAGGACTCGTTATCTTGATTCCATTTGAAATCTCAGACAGCCACTTCTACCATTTCCTATGTGCAAATGCAAATTCGAACACATTTTTGCCTAGAAATCTGACAAACGAGAACTCACAAATCACACAAATGGAAATAGATATTTCTGATGATTTGTTACATAAAATCAACTAAGGAATCTTATCAGACATTTTGAGATCAACCGAGGCTCCACTCATAGGAACTTACTTAATCTCAGTTACCTCCATACAGGTCTTTGGTCCAAATATAGTAGCAATGGGAATTGGATTTCAGCATTGGAATTTGTAGGGACCAGGAGTTGGTGTAATGGCTATGTTGCTGGACTCCCATGTAGTCGAATGTGATATGAGTTCTGGACACAGTGGCTTAAACTCACACCAGGCGCATGTGTGTGCATGCCCAAGATCCGAGAAGGGAATGGAGGAGAAGAGATTGTGGCATGGTCATCTACCTTGGGAGGTGATTTCTCGCTTTCTGTCTCTCTGTCTCTCTCTCTCTGTCTTTCTGGTGAACTCACATGTCCTATAGTAAGAACCTATAAAAAAAAACAAAAAAAATTGGAAATTGTACAAACATAACCAGTCCATAACAATTGCAGAAAGCCTTGGTTACTTCCAACCGGCCTCATGGGGGCACTGTGGAGCCACTGAGTTTCAATGGCCATGAAGTAGGGAGAACTCAGAGCATGTTGGGTGGGATCTGAAGATTAAGGGACAGCCTTGTTGGATGCTTACACTCATATAATGTTTGGTGACTAGTACTACAATTTGCAGGTGTCAGTCTATGCAGGGGTCTTGGACTTCCATTGTGCAGTGGAAGGAGTCTCTCTGAACTTGAAGGAAAGGAAAGCATGGCAGGTTGGGCTAGGGCAGCCTGCAAGCCCTGAGCTCTAATGGCCAAAGCAACAACTGCCTCAAGGACAAGCAGAGGAGCTGAGGGATAGACATGGGGTCTAACACAAGCCAGTCTACACAGGTCTCACCCAGGACTACATGTATGTGAAAGACTTTCCAGAACAAAACAGATGTCTTGGATCAACTGAGCCAGGAATTTCCAAGGGAGTCAAAGTGCATGAGAACCTTCAGAGACCATGACATCATGGCAGTGACATCACAGCCTAACATCCAGTCAGAAAAGGGATGACCATAATGCCAGCCCTCAGAGGACCAGAACCCTGAACAAGGTGACAGCTGTCCAGCTCTTCCTCACCTGCCGCAGGCTCCAGTACCCTCTGCCGTGTGACTCTTTGTCAACTTGGAAGAGGTGAGTCCTTGGTAAGGTGGGCCACCGCTAGAAAATACATGACCGAGGCTCCATAAGGCTCCCTCCTGGGATCTTTCCCCAGTCTCTGTCTCCCTTCCTCACAGTTACAGTGGATTCTACTTTGCAGAAAAGGGAAGCAGCAGACACCAAGAAGCACTGAGAGAGATGATAGCGAGGCAGTGACATGCCAGCACCATTCTTCATCTGGAAAGGAGAGAACAAAACTCAGTTCCTACCCAAGAGGACCAAACCCTGAGCACAGAGGTGCCTGCCTGGCTGCACCATGGACTCCAGGCTCCTCCACTGCATGATGCTTTGTCTCCTGGGAGCAGGTGAGTCTGGGGACAAAGGAGCCAGGTCTGAGTTAAGCGACTTCTGAATCCTCCACTCTACCTTGGGACCCCAGGCACTCTCCTGAGCTCATTCTCCTTCTGCTTCTCCCACAGGCCCTGTGGAGGCAGGAGTCACTCAAACTCCAAGACACCTGATCAAAACAAAAGGACAGAAAGTGACACTGAGATGTTCCCCTATTTCTGGGCATGAGAGTGTGTCTTGGTACCAACAGATCCTGGGCCAGGGCCCCCAGTTCCTCTTTGAATATTACAGAGAAGAAGAGAGAGCAAAGGGAAACTTCCCCAGTCGGTTCTCAGCTCACCAGTTCCGTAACTACAGCTCTGAGATGAATGTGAGCTCCTTGGCGCTGGAGGACTCAGCCCTGTATCTCTGTGCTAGCAGCTTGGCACAGCCCTGCAGAGTCACTGACGTTCTGTGCGCAAACCTCTGTGCCCCAGCAAGGAAACACCTCAGACCTGACATGCTGGGAGAACTTGGGGGCTGCAGGAGCACTTGAAAATAGTTCTGGGTTTCTGGACAGTGCAGCTTTGTCCTTTTGAGCCTTTCAGGGTTCAGGCCAAGTCCAGGCATAGCTCTTCAGAGGATCGTTCTACATCAATAGGTCACTCCAGAATGACTTTTTTTGACTACCACTGTTTTCTACGCTTCCTACACATTGTGTACTGCAGGGGTGAAGGGAATGCTTGTAATTTAATATCCAGAATTGTTCTCCTCAGAGCAAAAGATTTCAGTCTGGACTCAAGACTGTTTATAATCATACAGCAGAGATGGTAGCATCACAGGAATTTGCTTTATGTAATTGATGGAGAAGTTGCTGGTATTTGGGGAAGGTCAAGGAGAGAGAACATGATCAAAGATGGTTGATAATAGAGATAGCACTGCCGGGTTAGTAAAAGGTGTTCTGTGCGGCATAAGCTCTCTTCTCTCTTCAAGTTTTCAGTATCTAGAAAATATAAGACAAGGCCTTAGAGCTCTGGCATCATCTAGCGGCAGGTCTCCATGAGCGATGTCTCTGAGTAGCTGGTTGCCCAGTGCAAGGACGCTGGCATCATTTCTGTCTCCCTCCTTCCTCACTCCAGGTCCCAATCTTATTCCTCAGGGCACAGTCAGGCACTTTCCAAAACCAGAGGAGTCCCATCACCCAGGTCGCTAACCAGCACAGGTTCTCCTCTTCCCAGGATAAATGCTGTGTCCCTGGGATATCTTTCCAACACTTCCCACCCAGATCCCAGTTCCTTCGAAAGCAAATGCTCTTCCCAGTGGTTCCCATCAGCGGCTCTTACATCTCTGTCTGTGTTTGCATGCTCCCAGGCTGGAAGGCTGCTCCTGGTCACCAGACACAACCAGGCTCTCCTCATCTATCAAAGACCAGCTCATATAAACTTTCCTCTTTTCTTCTTAAAAAAACTTCATTTATTTATTGAGAGAGTGGAAACTCCGACAGAGTTTTTATACCATGATCCACTCCCAGCTTCATCCAGCCAGGATCATGAACTATGCAGGGAGACCTTGAGATGTGAACCCAGGCCCTTCCCATGTGGCTTCAGCATCATGGAGCATTGCGTGCCTGCCCTCCATGCTGCTGTGGCTGGCTCCCTTTTTCCTTACTCTGACTCCTCCTAGCACTGAAATGCACTGTCATAGAAAAGCAAAGTACATACTTGGTACTCTTTAAGTTAATGGCCATCTACACAGAATCTTGGAATATTATTAATCACTGTTTTTCCTTTACAAGGGGCTCACTTCTCTTACCTGAAATGTAATGGATAGCTACGATAGTCTCGGTATTGCACACAAAGTGTCCAATATTTTGAGCAGTTGTGCTCCCATAGTCAGAATTGATGACTAGTGCAATGTACCCTAGCTATAGCTAAAGCTGGAATTTGCCAGTGCTCTTCTGGAACAACAAAAAAATTATTTTGTCGCAATATTTGTCCAGTCTTAGGATATATAAAAATACATTTACCACAACCACACTTTTCCTGAACCGTATGTGTATATGTATTTTTTTTTTGAGATTTTTTGCCATTGGGCATGAGTGCTCCCAGAAAGACTGAGAGAGACAGAAAAACAGAAGGTGAAAATGCAACCCCCAGGAGGGATGACCATGCTGTAATCACTTCTCCTATCTGGATTTTGGACATGCACACCTGTCGTGAATTTCCAGCCCTTGGGTCAGAGACTAGAACCACCATCTGCCATGTGGGAGTCCAGCACCTTAACAATTATGCCACTTGCTGGGCCCCAGAACCATATGTTTAGAGACTTTGATGAGACTGGAAACATCAACAAGAGTGCTTCTTAGAATGAACTTGAAAAACTGAAAAATTGGCTTTGGTAAGTTTGTCATAGATATGTATCATTCTTGGCAATTAAAAGATACCGTGTGTGCATGTGTGTGCACATATGTACACGTGTGCTTTCTTGTAGAGACGTGCCCACACAGAAATTGTCTCTCTCTGGTGACATTTGTTGATAGGTGATGATCACTGGTTAGAGCTCACAGGCCCTTCCACCCACAAGTGACAGATCCAACTGAACCTACCCTAATTACATCAAGATTTCAGAAGTAAATATGTAAAATCTGGAAACCCTTTTTATAAACATGGGCACTAATTAATTTAAGTACAAACTATGAGGAGCTATGGGTCTGATTAACCTAGAGGAGCTATGGAGTACCCGACTCCAGGCTGGAGCTGTTTGAGGTCATTGAATTCTATGGCCGCGGCACTGACTGATCTCGTCCATCTTCTCACACCGGTCACCACGGTGTAGCAGTTTTTGTTTGTTTTTCTTTTTAGTCAAAATGCTGTTTCATACATCTTTTTGTCTTTACCAACTAAGGGTGGATTTGAAGATCAATCCTAAAACTATCAGGCTGCAGAAGCAGTGAAATGGGTGTGTGCGAGGGGTCGGGGTGTACAGGAGGCAGGTGTCGGAGTGGGGGGATCTGTGTGACAGTTTTAGACATACTTTAGCACTGCGGATGTTTGAATCCATGACCACTGCCCGCTAGGGGGCACTGTGGCTCCTCATGCTGCCTGGAGCCATGAGGAGGGTTTGGGAAGGTAGTCCAGGAGCCTAAGGCCTAGGAAGCCTTGGCTGCTTGCTTTAGTCCAGCCGGTGATTTGAATTCAGGGTGGGTCCCAGGATGAGTAGAGTTAGACTCTTGATGGGAAGGAAAGGGTTGGGGTGCCTCAGGCCTCAGAACGCACCAAGAGTAATCTCTGCATTTGCCAGGGCAATAGACAGGAAGGGACTAGGGCAGAAAACCTGGGGAAGTGTCAGGGCAGCAGCCAGGGGTGGCTGGAGGTGGAACTAGAGCCTGAGAAAATGGTATGTGGTTGGCATGTGGGCCCTGTGCTGAACGCAACTCCACCTTCTTTCGTTGAGAGGCTGAACAGGAAGTGTCAGAGCTCGGTCCTGCTAGGGTAAGGTGGGCCTGGCAGCCTGTAGAGGGAGTAATGGCATAATGACACTTCAGGCTCATGACTTTGTTAGGAGTCAACTACCCAACCTGAGAAGCTCAGCCCTGGAGACCTATGCAGAGCTAGGGGATGCCTAGGTTTCTAACTACCATGAGATTCAGGCTTCTCTGCTGTGTGGCCCTTTATCTCTTGCGATCAGGTGAGTTCTGGCACATTTGGGGGTCTCTGATCTGCCTTTGCATCCCTGAAGCATTAAGTGGCTTAAAGGCTGCAGCAGGGGACACCCTCCTATGCTCCATCTTTAGCTTCTGCCCTCTGACCCACAGGCCTGGCTGCTTCTGAAGTCACTCAAATGCCCAAACACCTGATCAAAGCACGAGGACAACAAGGGACACTGAGATGTTCCCCTGTGTCTGGACACACTTCTGTGTACTGGTACCAACAGGTTTCAGACCAGGGCCCCCAGTTCCTCATTCAATATTACAACGAAGAGGAAGGAGAAAAAGGGAACATCCCGGATCGATTCTCAGCACGGCAGTTCAGCAACTACAGCTCGGAGCTGAACCTGAGCTCCTTGACTGTAGGAGACTCAGCCTTGTACCTCTGTGCCAGCAGCTTGGCACAGCCCTGCTTGGTCGTCAGCCTGCTGTGCAAAAACGATCCTGCCCCACTCAGGAAGTGGCCCTGAGGGTGGCACTGCCAGTCAGCTGGCTGAGGCCCTGGAGAGAGACCAGTCTTCCCAGATGTTCTTTATGCTCACATATGTGATCTGTTTTCATGCTTGAAGAAGTCATGTAAGACTTGTATTATTTAATCTGTTTGTGTATCTGAGGGAAGGCAATCATCTTGGATCTCATATTTAACCACTAGCTGCCCAGGTTTCTATAACACCTGTGTATCCCAACCACCATTCTTAGTTTTGTCCCCTTTTCTGTCTTCTGCTTTCCAGGTCCCTGTTTTGAGGATCGGAAGGTCACACATCCTATGTGACTATCAGAACCCCTTCCCGGTCAAGTCCAGGGAACTTACGACTTCAAGGCACGGCTCACCCACTGACCTTCACTCACCGTAGCAGTGGTGTGATGGCTGATTGCAGAGTGAAGATTCCCAGCTTCACCAAAGGATGCGGCTTTTGGGGAAAGCGCCGAAGGCCTTCATGGGATGCAATCCACCAAGGGAGAGAGGAGCATCAGTAATTGTTGCTCACTTCCTGATTTCTCTTCTTCTGCTATTCAATAAACACTTGGGGGTTCCTTACATTGTACATGGTATTGTATCTCATGAAATAGAAAAGGAAAAAGAAGAAAGAATCAAAAATAAAAATGAGGAAAAAAATTTAAATGAAAAAAAAAACTTGTTACTTGCCTTTTAGAGTTTTAAGGTTTACCTTTCTTTCTTATTCAAGTAATTTACTCAGATTTTGAAGCATGACTTATGAAAATTTTTTTGCCTTCTCTTTCTGCTTTGGCTCCCCAGCCTCCTTTTGCTAGCTTATTTTAAAAGTTGTGTCAAGAACTACTAACATGGAATCCCCCTTTATCAGATAAACTACTGTGCAGTATTGTAATCTACAGCAACAGTCTTGTATATGAAATCTCTAGGATTTATTTCTCTTGCTTATTTAAAATTTGTGTCCATTGACAGAAATTCC